TTTCTTTTCCTTCTCCTCCTGCGATGAGGCTACATTTTAATATTTTAATGTTCCATTATTTTAATGTTGTATTTTATTTTTGTTTTTAAGTTGTAATCATTCATCTTGTTTTTATTATTGCTTGTAAGTCGCTCTGAGCCCGGCCTTGGCTGGGAAGGGCGGGGTATAAATAAAAATATATTATTATTATTATTATTATTATTATTATTATTATTATTATTATTAAAAAGATTAGGGTCAGCACAGAAAAAGACGTTTATGTGGAAGCTGGTTGAAATTGCCCACGCTTGACTGCTACTCCACACCACAAGCAGGTTTCGTGGATGTTTTTGCCTTTCTTAAATTTTGCTTCTACACCCTCTGCCAATACAGATCATACTAACAGCCTTCTCCAATGCTCTGGACTGTGAACTCTCAGATCAGATCTCCTCTCTGCCATAGGAACAGATCCTGTCTGCATGATCCTGCCAAAGTGAAGCAGAAACAGCTAGTGGAACAGTCATTGAAGAGGCATAGCAGAGTAATATTAATATTGCATACCATGCAATATTAAGAGGGTGATGTATCCAGTCCGATTCACTGTCCAAAGAGATGTTCAGGTTAGTTTTCCTTATACCTGAAGAACAAGCACTGGGATATCCACTGATTGATGTATCTCATACCTTAATGAAACAAGTGATCAACTCTAACTGATGGTAAGCATCGTCATATAATATGACAGGGCTTAACCTTCAGTCTTTAGGTTTGAATCATTTTCTCAAAGTAGTTGCAGATCACTGTTTTTATGATGATCTCAGTAGAAACATATAACGATGGTTCATGAACTGCTCCTGTAAATCTGATTTAAATCTTCTTGATTTCCAGAGTGAATCTGATTGATTTCCACACACTCAATATGAGATGTATACTGACCTGTCAATGGTAACTTTGAAGAACATCCCCTTCTTTTCCCCCTCCCAACTACTGCCCTTTCTTCAGTCCTAATCACATTTGACATGCATTCCTCAGTTCTTATCCCAGCGGTATAAGCTTTTATATCTACAGAGCAACACAAGTTCACTCTAAGATCTTGGAAACATTATGCAAGCCTTTTCAAGGGCTGAAAATGGATTTCATTTATACCAGATATTTGCATAAGCACACAGAGTTTCATAGCAGGAAATATAAAATGCAATTAAAACTTAAATTATTCCTAGTCATGTGGGTGTGTACATGTGTATGTTCACACAGAATGTGAACCCTCTCTCTGGGTGTAGTCAAAAAAATATGACGCAAATCAGTTATTCAGGGAATCCTGAGTTTGATCATGCCATTATAAAGGGAGTGCCCAACCTTCCAAATCACTGTTGCCATGGTTTTTCCAAAAAGTTTAACACACAACTTTCCCCCCCTTTTCTTTTGTGAGAAACAACTGCAACCTGATTGAGGAAATGGCCAGAGCTCAAACAGTGGTGGGGTGCAGAGGAGAGTGTGTCTTAATATCTCCACTGCCCTCAGAAGCTGCGGGGGGGGGTAGACCAGAAGGCATTCTCTGTGGTGGTCCCTACACTGTGGAAATCCCACCCCAAAGAGGTTTATTTAGCACCTTCATTTCTACAGCTTGTGGTGAATGCTGAAGATGTCCCCTTTTACTTTGCCTTTTAAAGCATTTTTTTTAGGACCCAGCTTATTTCTGTGACTGTAAGTTATTTTAAACAGTTTTAAATATTGTGCTTTAATGTTTTGACTCAACTGGGGACCTTAACAACAACAACAATGTCCCCCATGTGATATGACCTTCTCGCGCATCACATGAGGATAATCATGATTATGTCTCATGTGAAACATTTACGTTTCTCTGTCCTGAATCTATTGCCAGTGAATTTCAATGGGGGAATCTGAGTTCTATTATTATTATTATTAATTCAATTTATACACCACCCTATACCCGGAGGTCTCAGGGCAGTTCACAAACAAGACCACAACATATAAAAACAAACCAAAAACAATAACCCAATTTTAGAAACCCCCAAAGAACCACATTCTAAAAGGGTGTTGGATGTCAATAAGATCAACCAAAGGCCTGGTTAAAAAAGAACATTTTTGCCTGGCCCCTAAAGGTGTATAACGAAGGCGCCAGGCAAACTTCTAGTGTTATAAAAGAGAAAAATTATCTATCAGAAATGATTTGGATTAAAATAAAAATAAAAACTTCTGGGAAGATTCATATTTATCAGGTTCCTTTCATCTAATTACTCAGGCAAAACTTTGTTCAAAGTGACATAGGGTCATCCTCCTCTGCCAAAAATGAGACTGTCAGGTTAACAAATACTTGAGGATTAGTTTGTTTGAACATTTGTTTGTACTTTTATCCAGGTAATCTCTTGGAATTCATCACAGCTGCCGCAGCTATGAGTTACAGTTAATATAATGAGAGCTTGTTCTGCAATTCTGCAAGACTGTATTGATTTCGCCATACCACTGAGTTCAATCCTACAGGGACTCGGTGCTATTTGCAACATGCATGGAAGGACCGGAATATTATAGCTGTGCATTATTGATAGCAATCCTCTGAAGACAAGCATCTACCAGGGATGACAGTTGGACATGATCATTTTTGAAAGGCAGATTTGTTGAGCTTTGACAATCCTCATTTTTCCCCCAGTTCCCTTGCAAAATTCCTGCTAACTAATGGTTACAGACAGCTGAGGAGCAGTACTTTTATTCTATTAAACAAGAAAATTCCTTCCCAAACCATATGGGCTGGCAGGTGTTCTTTATCAGATATGGGTTGCTATGAGACAAGTACTTGCTAAAGTTAATTAGTCATATAACAAAAAGGAGGGGAGACATCTCCAGCATTGCTTATTGATTCAGCACACACTTTTCACATGCCTGCTATCAGAAGCAATACAAGTATTTAGGACGCGATCCAATAGTCCCAGGGAGTGCATTTGAAAAGCCACTGGGTATTGTGGCTCTCCCTTTCTGCGTGCTGAGAAGGAGGGCTGTGGAGGGAGGGAAAGAGTGTTCCTGGAAGTCTCATTTGTGTAACTTTATATCCTCTACCACCAGTACACTAATAGTAAAGGTAAAAATCCAGTCAAAGACGACTATGGAGTTATGGCACTCATCTCGCTTTCAGGCCAAGGGAGCTGGCGTTTGTCCACAGACAGCTTTCCGGGTCATGTGGCCAGCATGACTAAACTGTTGGTTTCTGTTTATGCCACTGTGCAGCACTTGGAGTCACAAAACTCTGTTTACATTCCAGGGATTCCAGACTGTTGGAAGTCTCACAGGAGACGGGAGACGGATATGATGTTTACTGGCTTCCTGTTCCTTTGTTTTCAGTTGTCTCTCTGCTTTCACAGAGAGAGGATGTTTCGTTTCTGTCTGCGTAACTAGAAATAAAACTCTTTACAATGTAGCTCATATTTCTCATCCTTCCCTGCTGCTGGATACTCTGCGTAATGAGGGAACGTGCCTGGAGCCTTATCAGAGCACAATGGAGCACTGTGACGAGTGCCAGAGCACACAGAAATGCCGTTTACCTTCCTGCCCTATTTATCTACTTGCACTGGCATGCTTTCGAACTGCTAGGTTGGCAGGAGCTGGGACAGAGCAACAGGGATTCGAACCGCTGACCTTTGGATCAGCAAGCCCAAGAGGCTCTGTGGTTTAGACTAATAGTGATATGAAGGGAAAGGGGTGTGTCAGGACAAGTGAAAGGAAGTTCTTCTTAACGCAGTGTGTAGTTAAACTATGGCACTTGCTTCAACCAGAAGCAGTGATGACCACCAACCTGGATGGCTTTAAAAGATGATTAGACGAATTCGTGGAGTATAAGGCTATGAATAGCTAACAATGATGGCTATGTTCTGCCTCCATGGTTGTAGACAGAAACGCTTCTGAATGACCGTTCCTGGAAACCACAGGAGGGGAGAATGCTCTTGGGCTCAGGTTCTGCTTGAGGGCTTACCATATGCACCTGGGTGGCCACTGGGAGAACAGGATGCTGGACCAGGTGGGCCATTGGCCTGGTCCAGCAGGCTCTTATTATCATCATGTCAGGGGCAGATCAAGGAAGCCAAAGCCCTCCCATTAGTGGGGATGAGGACTGGACGCATGGCTAGGAATCGTTAGAGTTGTAGTCCATTTGGAGGACACTGCATTAGCTATCACTGGTCTGAAAGATAATCTGCAGCAACTCATTTAGAAATGAGCATCACACTCTTGAATGAAGTCTCTTGCCTAGGAAATTATATATATCATTGAAGATATTTGGGGGAGGAGGTTTCTAATAAACGAAAAAGGATGTTTCAATACCTTGACAGATATAGTGAGAGTTCACCTCCACAAACACAAAATAACCTTTCTGCTCTTAATGCCTTAATGGCATTAAACACACCAGTATACATATATTGAAATATGTCTAATGGACAACAAAGGCCAGCATAGATTTACATGCATATGCTGTCACATATACAAATATTAAAGGGGGGAAAACATTTGTTACAGAACATTTGAAATCTGGTTTATAAATAGAACTGGATACTTTAAGCCTTAAGGGGAAGAAGTCTGTGCACACATCAGAATGTAAACACATAACTGGGTTGCAACAGGTGCAATTTTTCTATTTGTTATTTTGCGCACATTCAGCCACATAGAAGCGATGCTAGTTGAACTCTCCATGTTTCTCATCCACCCAGTGGATGGCGCTTGATAGGATGGATTTTCCCTGTTTGTTGTTGTCCCTTCCCCTCAATGAGTACTGCCTCCCTCAGTTCTGAAAACCTGAGGTCCATTGTGGGCACGCACCCAGGCATTTGTTTATTTGTGCATATGGCAATTTTCTTTTAATGTTTGAGATACAAGTATAACTGTATACCAGACTTGCACAAAACAGATGGTAAAATGATGATGATGATGAAATGCATGTGTGTCACCACCTGCCCTACCTGTGGCCCACAGTGGAGCACCTTGCCAACAGATAGATGGCACCCTGTGAAATGTCACCACATTCCTGGGATAGTTCAGTTGGTAGAGCATGAGACTCTTAATCTCAGGTTCGTGGGTTTGTGCCCCATGTTGGGCAAAAAGATTATTGCATTTTAGGGATTGGACTACATTAGGGTTACCAGACGTCCCCGTTTCCTGGGGACAGACCCCGGATTTGCAAATAAGTCCCAGGACAAATTTCATACCCAGAATGTCCCCGGATTTCATCTAATGTCCCTGGAAACGCAGCAGTGGCAGTCTCAGCAGCCCGGAGCAGTTGGCTCTGGCCTGCTTCAGGAGCTGCTTGGAAGTCCCCATATGGTGCTGGTGCAGGGGCTCTAAGATGCAGCTTCCGGGCTGCCTCTACTTTCCCCGACCCCAGCAACTAAGCTGTAAAGGGAAGCTTCATGCTGCCTATCGGAGCAGCCTCCTAACTCCTACTTGCGCGCAAGCAGGAGCGGCGTGGGGATCTCTCAGCTGGGAAGGGAGGCTTCACACTGCCTATCAGAGCTTGTGTGCAAGCAGGAGGGGGCAGGGATCTCTCAGTTAGGCAACAGGAAGCCTCCCTTCCCAGCTGAGGGATCCCCACCCCTTCCTGTTTGCACACAAGTAGGAATCGGATTGGGGCTGCTCTGATGGGAAGGGAGGCATTGCGCTGCCCAAGCCTCACTGCCACTACCACTCTATGCCCTTCTTTTCCGCCTTCCATGCCTGACCCACCGTGCACTGCTTCCCCACCACCACCACCAAAGAACCAACAACTCAGGGGCTGCCCAGGCTCATGGAGAAAGGAGATAGAAGCCTCAGAGGAAGGGGAAGCATGGCGGTTGAGGTCAAGGCTGTGGCCGCCCCTCTGCCACCGCCATCGCTGCAGCATCAACATCCCGAACAGGTAGCATTTATTTATTTACTCATTTAAAGTGTCGCCAGATTAATTGAAAAAAATCTGGTAGCCTTAGACTACATGCAAACTCTAATTAGAGAAGCTGATGCGATCCCTGTCTTACTTCTTTCTTAATTCCTTTTCCCAAGTAAGAGGTTACCAATAGTCGCTGCAATTGTGCCTTTCCTTCTGCTCTCTGGAGGCCTGCTCCACTCCTACAATCCATATCACAAGAGCAGGAAACATGTACTCCAGACAGGCAGAGCCAATGTGATTTATACTGGCAAGATTCCAGCATAACAAGCAAGATGGTTTTTTTATTTATTTAAATCATTTATATGTTTTTATTTGAATGTCTCATCCTTTATCACATGTGCGCCATTCAGCACATTAAATATGGCTGAGATTCAGGAAAGAGGATTTCCGCCAACTGCACTTTCCACTGTGCTTGCTGTTTGATCATGCTGGCTTTAGAATGGAGAGCATCCATCTGGCTTAATTAGTTTACAGGCACTCTCTTTCCATTTGCTGTTCTTTCTAATGGCAAACAGCATCCATGATAAGAAAGCAAACATATCTGTGACAGGCTAGTTTGTGCTGAATGCAAGGGGTGGATTTCTTTTGGAATTCAAAGAGCTGGGAAGAGAGGATCAAGATGATTTCGGGAGGCCATGCTAATCTGCAATGAAGTATTTCTTTCAGATGCAAAGTTGGGGTAATTGAGAGAAGCAGTTTTATCGTGTTGTTTTTATTTTGCTTCCGCTAGTGTAGTATGAAACTCTTCCTCAGCTGCTAGGATTAAGATAAAAAAAGAGAAAGTCTAACATTCTGAGACAAAGAACAGCCCTTAGTCTGAACATGCTAATTTGGAAATAAGTGTCAATGAATTCAATGGAACTTCCCTCTAAATAAGCGTACTTTAAGTTTGTAGCTGTGATCATGTGCCATTTTGAGCTCTGAGAGGTATGGCAGAAATGAGTGCATGCCCCAGCTCCTACCACCTGTCTTTTTCATTCCTCTACTCATACCCCCATATTTGGTGAAGATATCTTGGTTTATACCACAGTTCTCTACGATAGCTAAGAGGGGAAACTGGTTCAAGAGCTACCTCCAGAATATGAATCTAGGATCAGATCAGGCCGAGATTGTGACATCTGAACCAGGCTTGGAATGGTATGATATTAATTTCACAATTCCCTTATTCATGAGGCAGCAAGCTGTTTAGAGATGCAAGGACAGTTATCAGCTGGATGTCTCAGAGGATATTTCATCACAATGTTTATCATATTTTATTATGTCAGGGGAAAGATGGGGTAATAATAATACAATATTGAGAAATTTAATCAACATGTTATTACTGTATCTCCTTAGATATCTGTGAATCCGTGGTCCTTCTGCTTGAACCAAGAACCTCATGGTCTGGGGCCTAGCTTGGTGAGCTGTTACCCAGAATAATTTGTCTCGTCTCAGAGATTTGTTCCGGCACAGCATGGAACAGTAGTGTAGTAACCTTGGCTCAATTTGATATATATGAGCTTTCTTGGCTCATATAAAAAGTGTGCCTGTTTCAAAGAATTCTCTCCCGTCTCACAATGTTGACACATGTTAGCAGATGTGTACTTTACGTACACATACACATTACTATACTGTGTCTTTCAGAAATGTTTGTTGGTTTATTCCTGGACACCAGCCTGAGCAAATTTTTGTCTCTGTGTTGGGATAGGTCCAGGGTATTTTTGACAATGATAGATGCATCAAGGGAAAGATCAGTATTCCTTGGAATCTGAACTGTAGGAACCTCAAGGGACTCCAAAGGTTCAAAGACTCAAGCACCATTGGGGGAGTCTCAATTACTTTAGGCAGAGGCTCGAAGCAAGATACTAGGGCAAAATTCACAAAGCTGCTGACATACTGCTATCAACATAGCACAGGACAGTACCTGTCTTATAATTCCTGGATAGAATTTCTCCAGGGAAAAGAAGCATAAACAGGTGCTCACACAAACTTATGAAAATATCTTTTTCTTCCAGCAGATTCCTAATTTGGAATCGTTTAATGCCCATATAGTTCACAATGTATGGAAACTTCAGCAGTTTCATAAATCTGTGAAAATCATGCTGCTAATTGTTGGCTCTCTTTATTACTTTTCACTAATTTGGATTTTTAGAAGCAAAGTGATTATAATAAACCCTGCTGGGTTCATAACAGACCATCACATAAGCTTCTTTAGCTTAGCACATGTGCATAATCAGCAAGCAGTGATTCTAAGATGTGAGACTGCCTTACATTCACTGGGTAAGAAGATGGGTCCATACATCTGGTATCACCTACTCTGAGTGGCAGTAGCTCTTCAGGGGGTCCAGCAAAGGCATGGGCCATTATGCTAGCTAAGACCCAAAAGAAAGGCTAGACATGGAGAAAAAGGCTTTTGAAAGGCTTTCAACACTTCACAAGGACTCTCCAAAACTTTCCTTAGTGAAAGATTGCAGGGGGGTGAAAGAATGGCACAGAGAAAGTGGAGTGGAGAGTAGAATGTTTCAAGAAGAAGAAGAAGAAGAAGAAGAAGAAGAAGAAGAAGAAGAAGAAGAAGAGGAAGAAGCAGCGTTAGCAGCCGCCATCTGACTGGGCAGCTCCCAACAGAATAGTAAAAAGATGATAAAACATCAAACGTTAAAAACTTACCTTAACAGGGCTGCCATCAGATGTCTTCTAAAAGTCAGATGGTTGTTTATTTCCTTGACATCTGACAGGGTGGGTGCCACCACTGAGAAGGCCTTCTGCCTGGTTCCCTGTAACCTCGCTTCTCGCAGTGAGGGAACTGGCAGAAGACCCTCAGAGGAGGACCTCAGTGTCTGGATGGACATGGGGGTGGAGATGCTCCTTCAGGTATACAGGGCCAAGGCCGTTTAGGGCATGAGTAGGTAAACTATGGTCCGGGGGCTGGATCCAGCCCAATCGCCTTCTAAATCCGTCCTGCAGGTGGTCCGGGAATCAGCGTGTTTTTACATGAGTAGAATGTGTGCTTTTATTTAAAATGCATCTCTTGGTTATTTGTAGGGCATAGGAATTCATTCATCCCCCCCCCAAAAAAAAGGTCTGAGGGACAGTGGACCAGCCCCCTGCTGAAAAAGTTTGCTGACCCCTGGTTTAGGGCTTTAAAAGTCAGCACCAACACTTTAAATTGTGCTCGGAAACATACTGGGAGCCAATTCCTCAATATGTCCTCCTACCTAATCATGAATTTTCATGGGGAAAACTTCAGCAGAACCTTTTGCTGAAGCAAAACCCCAGCATCTGAAATGCCAGAATAATATATGTAGGATCTTCAAACTCAAGACAAAATAACAGGATAAGAATTCCCCTACCTAAAGATAATGGGGACATTGTTCATGATAATGCCAGCTATAAAACTGACTTGCACTTTACAGCCATCTCTCTTTTTCTGTGGTTGACAGTGTTTCACACTCTTGCTCGTGCCTTTCTCGCTATAAAAAATGAACAGCATTTGTTAATGAGAGCTCCTGTCGGAAAACTTGATTCACTGTCGAGGGTGCCACTTTTCAGCTCAGAAAGATGCTGTGAAGTTGCTATTAGCAGAAGATTTTTTTTTAAAAAAAATCTGTTGGTCTTTAAGAACTTGCCATTTGAGTAAGGCTTGTAGTGGAAGTAGCAAATGCAGAAAAATGTTCGGCTTCTGAAATATGACTCATGCTCAGAACTGCTTCTCACAGGGAAGACATCGGTAGATTCGACATCACACATCTGCAATGGGGTCCTAGACCTGAGCTATTGTCCATTGCAATAATGAAGGGGAGTGTGATCTAAGAAGAGAAACTCAGGAGTCCCTGGAATGTCACCAAGGTACTGGGACGAAGCTCTTGGATCACAAGTTGTTCCTATGAATTCATCAGTTTAGAGTCAGTTTGTGGGAAGGCCCAATTTTCTTATGACATGATGCTCAACATCAGATTGATAGAAATGGATCCAGGTAACAGCACTCATTTTGGAGGGTCCATAATTCTATGGTAGCTACCAAAGCACCTTTCCTAAAGAGAGAAGACTAGCCATTGGGCAATATCTTCTACCCTCTCATGGATCAAGGTATATTTTTGGCAGGACCTCTTAGCCCCATGTACAATGTTCTATGTAGAGATAAGCAGGGGTCATCAGATCATTTAGGAGCATATTACATTGTAGTGTGTAATTATATCATT